CGTCGCCATGTATCTCCAAATGCATCGGTACAATGAAAATGTTCGAAAATAAAATTCAACGGATGCGTTAAAAAGAAAAACAATATAGTAACGTGCTAGAACAATGAAATATCAACGGAATGATTTCTCCGATAGTGAAAACGGTTTTGGAGAGAGAGGACCATGGTGATTTTGCAATTCACGAGCTGTGAATGGATCAGGATATCCACATAAGTATTCGTTCGTTTTCCGTGTACATTTGCATTTCGTATCGTATACAAATAGACATAGTTGTCACGTTTGCTCGAGTGTATGTAGGAAAAATCAGAGAAAAATGTAACACGGAAAAATGTAACAAATGTTTTATATAAAACGACGAATGTAACAAATGTTTTATATAAAAAAAATATCAATTAACCAATAATTGTCTTCTACCTTTATACATCAATCACATTTCTCTCTCACCTCAGTTGTTGGTAATACGCATAAACAAGCAGTTTTTTTAATTCTACTGTTTTATTGAAATATAACATTAAAAGTAAGTTTTTAATATCAGTTTCTCAATTGTACACCTTTTTATTTTAATTACGTAAAATTCTCCAGATGTTTGTATTAAATAGACATTAAACTTGAAGATAGGCATAAAATTTATTATGATTATAGATTAGCATATAATAACATATTAATGAGAGGTATAGCGTATCGCTAATAGAGAGCAAAGAAAGAAGAGTATCGAAATAGCCGAATGGGAACAAAAGTAACAAGATTTATTGTTATTTATTACTTTTGTTCTCACTCGGCTTTTTCTATGCTCTCCTTTCTTTGCTTTACTAGTATGCGTATGTTATTTTAATATGGAATTAATATTTTTAGAATGTCAAACATTCATAAAAAAGAAAAACATATCATGGGCGAGTTTCTGCGAAAGTATATAAATTAGCTGCAGAAAAAATAAAAATAAATACAAAAATAATATAATAATAACAGAATAAAAATCCTTTTAAAAGTATCTCCTCTATTAATTTATTTTTAAAGTTTTATTTTTAAAGTTAAACAGGATATTACAGCTGTCTCTATCTTATTTCATCGCCTGTTACTTTTTGTCCCTAGAAGTAAGGACAAAAATAACAAATGACATATCTTTAAAAGATTTATTTGAAAAAGTTGATAATAATATGTTGCTAGTTTTTCAATTAGATTATATTGTCTAATAACCTTTACTGTCGTGTAAGATTCGTTTATAAATTCTATATATAACTTAGAAAATATAAAAACAAAAAGCAAATTGTTACATTCCTGATCTCTCCCAGTTTACAGCGTGTGAACATGAAAAGTGAACTATCCTTCGCGTTTCAAGACCGAAAAATTATTTCAACGTGCAGTTTAAAGGATTACATATATAATATACAAGTTTACACAAAATTATACAAACATTTAAGATCCAGCCAGATTGTTAAAGGTATTTATTTCTTATTGGTTGTGTTTTCACATGTACAGTCCTATGAGATTTAATATTATTAATTATAACGTTATAGATTTTAAAATATGTGATCCTTAAAAAAAACCTCTTTAAAAAAGAAAAAATATGTTTGCCCGGAGTCATCCGGCAGATTACGGCAAATATAAACGCTCCCTTACACCGATGTTATGAAACTAACCAATCACAGTCATTCTTCAAAGGAATAGCTATATGATTAATTAATTTTTCATAATATCGATGTTAAAACTAGGCGTAAATCGAGTTGTGTAAACGTAATCATAATTACCTAGCGTGGGTACATCTTCATTTCCTATATAAATTTCTCAGTAACTTTTTCCAGTGTATGATCATGGAGTAAACGGTTGTAACATCTTCTTTTTAATGAGTTTCGGAGCGTACTCACTAAGCGGTTGGTTCTTATTTATGAATCCATAAGTAAATAAGCAATCGCTCGGTGTTGCATTCAGAAATCCATCGAAAAATGTTGCAATCTTTGAGTCAATGAGTATACAAACAAATTTATCACAAATATTATGTTTTACTATTTACAAAATATTTTACGTTTACAAACGTTGCCTGTACATTAAATATACAGAAGTGTTCCAGTTTGATAGAAGCAAATTTGCCACGGGACTTTTCAATGTTTGCGGTCATTAATTTTCATTTTTCATCGATTTTTTTCTCTCAATCGCTCTGAATTATTTTCACCTATGAATTGTGATTGAAAATGGATTTTACCTAGAATAGAAAATTACTTGAAACTTTTAATGTCTGGCACGTTTAAATGCACAATAAAATTAACTAGCTCGTGTGTGTCCTGTCTAGTAGTATTTTACTCGGCTTTATAGACTTCTATTCACTAAAATGTGAAAATGGATACTGGCCAAGTCGTTTCAACGTAAAATATTTTCTTGCTTTCTGTCTTCTGAGGATCGATTTCATAGGACATTTCTCTACGGTATATCCTTTTTGCGAGCAAATATCACATTGGTTTATGGTGGACAGAAAGATGGAAGACAAGCTATTGAACTAGAGTAGTAACATATGGAAAAATAATTTGGAAATGGATATATATTTTTAATTTTTTATATTATTCTCTGTTATATATTATTACATTTCTGTGCGTTTTCTACATTAAAATACGTGAAAATATATGTAAAGTCGGTTTACATAATGTCGCCGTATTTCTGATGCATATACTTTTCGATTTATAAATATCAAAATGTTTTATGCATCGCGGTTCTTTATTCGACACATATTTTTTTCTTTATCATTTTCTTTATGCTGGAGCATGACAAAGGGATAAAAAATATGTGGTTATCAAGGGGATTTAATCGTCTTTGGAGTTCACGATTAATTCCGGTCACGAGCCCTACAATCATCTCGCCGTACAGTTGTCGGATTATTCTGGCTGACGGGGCTTCTTGAGGTTTTCAGGAGGTCGGATGGAAATACGTATGATAGTTACCGCACGTTATTGACGTGCCATAGTTACTGACCGTCGCGCGCATACGTGTATGTATATTTGTCGCAGTTACTGGTCGTTGCAAATTTTAGTTATTGTTCGTTATAATTAAGCATCCGGCATGTACTAATAGTTGTTGACATTGAGTGATTCAGTGACGTCACAAATTTTATAATATTTAATTTAGCATAGATGAGGATGCATTCCCCACATCTCGCAGGAAATGTTCGTAATTAATGGTAAAGCCGGGAATGTATTCATTGTTTGAATTTTTCTAAGATATCGCACGATAAAGTGATTCGCGCGTATTAGCGCGAAAGTGTGGATTTTATAGTAAAATAATTAATTCGAAGATGTTTAGGATGCAGAGAAGTTTTGCAGAAATAAAAGTCTAATGATTAGAAATATGAGACATATGTGTTATTTGTAGAAATAACAAGGGCGCATTTACAGACATAGTGATTTTTTTTACAACGAATCTATTTGTAAAAATATCAGACACGTAAAAAATGTATACTGTAATAAAATTATTACCTTACCAAAATATTTAGTAGACATAATATCTATTATGTAAGTATAATATCCATAGAAGACTATTTTGTATAATAAATCCAGCAGAAATTATTTTTATAAAAACAGCATCTGGAAATTTGATCGCATTTTTGTAAAAATATGAAGGTTTTATTTGCATATGAATCTGCAAGTCATATGCGGGGAAAAGAGGAAGTTGTACTTTCAAAATTATATGCATTACATGCATTGTGGTAACTATTATAATATGACCGCGATAAAATTTGTAAGTATTGGAATATTATTTTACGTCAGCAGGAAATAAAAGAAAAGAAGATTAAGTAAATCGACTCACGCTTCATTTATTATTTATCACTTAAAAAAAAATATACGTTTTTACAAAGGACGTAGGTATTAAATCGCGCAAAATATTTTAAACACCTAGAACATACTTACATCCTTTGTTTGCAGGGTTAATGTTTTCAAATAGCTACGTATGCAGAATTACGATACGAGCAATTAATATAATAACGAGCTATGTGGACTGAGGAACGAGCAGTAGTTACCGCGGCGTTACTGTTTGTATTCTACGGTCTACGGATGCGTATCAGTAGTTGCGAATCGCTATGTTGGACAGTAGTTTCTAACCGTTATGAACGGGTAGTCATTACTGTTCATTATATATGGACACAGTAGTCACAGACTGTTATGACTAACAATTGCGGCAGGTGCGTTGGCAATCTGTATTCCAATTACTGCATCATATAAAAACCGCAGTAGTAAAACACTCAATTTTATCATCTAGAAAAGCGAATAGATGAATATAATCACTGGTGTTCTAAAAATAATACACAAGATATTTTAATAATCATAACACACATATTTTTTGCACGTTCAATTTTTATACGACTTCTTTCGTTTTATTACATTGAATTTTGAGCATGCTTTTCGAATAAATAGGAGTTAATTTTTTATCAATATGCGTATATGAATTCAATATGAATGAACTCTGTGTACATAGTTTTAAAATTCTTAAATTATGCCATTTTTTATTCTTGGAATTATGAAAATATTTCGTTTTACAATATTAAATTCATGCTTTCTTTCATGCTTGAAATAGTTAATACAGATGTTAAAATTCCATATTAAAATTATAAAGGTAAAAAAATCATTTATGCAATCTGTGATAAAAATAAGATTTTAAATAAGAATTTTACTTAATTATCCAAAAAGATATACTGAATAAAAATTTATAGAATTTTATTAATATTTGTTTGAATAGTACTAACGAAATATTTACAAAATATAATATACATACATGTAAACATATATTTATTTAATTTTAGTACAATTTTTTATTTTTAATAAATATTTATTTACTGTAAGTAAATACTTCGTGTTAGAGTACTATTCGAATAAATATTTCATAAAATTTAGTAAATTTTTTTTTCAGTTTACATGGAAAACGACATTATTAAAAATAGCCTTTTCTCTACTTTCATACATACATAATACGATTCATAGATATTAAATCACATTTTTATAAATTAATTTTTTTGTTTGCAGGTGTCGTGGATCAAGCGGAAGAATTTATTGTTACACGAATTACTGACCGTAGGACTAACGACATACGCCAACGATGAACGGTTTCAGGCAATTCATTTCCACCACAGCGAAGATTGGACGCTTCAAATAAAATACGTCCAACCAAGGGATGCCGGATTGTATGAATGCCAAGTGTCCACCCATCCGCCCACGAGTATATTTTTGCTCCTTGACGTCGTTGGTAAGTAAAACCTTTTATTACAACATTATATACTCATATATTTATAACTTTTAATGATCATGAGTGGTTCTATACCCTGGCTTTTATGATATAAAATATTATATAACATTTTTGTATAATTCGATATTTATGTTCAGTATGTGGATTATACATGTAGCTCAAAATTAATTTTAATTTTATTCATATTACACTTTTGTATATGAACGTATATATGTATAAAGTAATTAAGTAGACTTGATATCTTATTATTTATGAGAGAATAAGCTGAACTTTTCTCTATTCCAATTATTTCTAAATTTTATGTTTTTGTACATGGCAAAAGACTTGGAGGAACGAGTAATAAATTTTGAATTTGGTAATAAACGAATTATAATATATTTAGATAAATTACTCTTTTTTTTTAAAAAAAGCTTTTAAAAAATAAAAATATTTAGCTTGTGTATTTACTTTTTGGGGAATTCTCAATGTCACAATCGTAAAAACTATATCAACTGATGCAAAATTATTCCTTTCAGCAATAAAACCCACAAGTAACATATGAAATTTTGTTTTTGAATATTCTCTCTTTTACACATTTCGGTTTCATTATCTATTTGTATATTTTTAAGGAGATATCCCATAATTATCTGTTTTACCTATTCAATAAGACTTACACACATACGATGTATGTTATTAACGTTACTTATATATACTATTACGTCGCACGCACACATGTACATAAATTTTCGTTGAATGATATTGTACATAAAATTAGATATCTAAGTCTAATTCTAAAAACTCTATATTATATTTGTTCATATATAATCTGTAATAATTTTTAGCCTCCACAGAAAAGTTTTATAAGTACAGAACTTTTATATAAGCAAATATTGTGACTCTTTTGACAGTTTAAAATGCCTAAAGTAACTTAAATGTAAATTTACTTATAAAATAAATATTTCAAATTTGTAACGTTTGCATATATTAATACCTATTAGGTATTACAAAGCAATGTTTTGCCTTGTAATACCTAATAAGTGTTAATAGTTAATCAAATTTTAAATTTTCATTACCTAGTTAAATGTAGCATTATTAATACAGTTATAAACATAAAACTGAAAATCAATTTAATTTATTATATCTTCAATAATATTCTATTAAATTTTGAGAATTAATATTTTATTTATATTTATATTTAATATTTTATTTTTATTTTTATTTAATTGCTCTCTTTTTTTTTTGTTAAATTGATTATTATTTTAATTAAGCATGTCGGATGAGCTATTAATTTAAATTGTTTTGCAAATTAAAAGAATTTCGTAATAGCAGTACATTTTGTCATTCTTATAATTGCTAAAAGTATTATGCTTCTAAAGTATTCATATAACAATAATTTTGAATCTTAATTTTTAAGAACGCACAATTTTATGAAGAAGATCGAAGTAAGTTTACCGAAATGCCGAAATATATTGGCAGGCAAGTGAATGAAAAAAATCCAATTGAGGTACTAAGAATGAGAACTCAGAAGGAAAGTTGAATTTGATGAAGGCGGCGAGTCGGAAAGAATATGGTATAACTTTAGAATCAATATAATCGTGATATTGTCTTTGAAATGAGGATAGTTTTAAATTTGGCCTTAATAAATTCTCATCAAAATACAATCAGCGTGAGAAACGAAATGCGTGCTCGCGTTGATTTTTGTCCATTTGTTATAATTCTGGACATATTTCGTTCTTAACAAGATCATCTCAGCCCTTTTTTCTCGACGAAGCCCCCTCAGACTTTTTTAAATCATTTAATAATAACATCATCTTTAAGCTTACAATAACTGCGCGATATTATGTTCCGTGGCACTTTATAAGCTGTCCAATTCTCAATACGTAACATCTCGAATTTACAATTTATATGGAATCTCAGTTTCCCATTTAATTACGGACAGTGTGTAATACGCGATATCCACCAATAAGTCACGAATTATACCCTCGAAATACATCATCATGCCATGTCGCGCCGCGCCGCGAAGCGACATGTCCTTCTTATTGAACAACGTAACGCTTTTCACGGAAGACTTTGAATTATTAACTCTCAACGGGCCGATAATGTTTCGCATATGATATAGTCTGTGCCACATCCAGCGATATTTATGTCGGTTTTATGCTTTTATGCGTGGCGCGATGGAATAGCAACGCCATTGTGCCGCATGCATTAATGATCTGCGTTGGGACTTCGTTACGTATCACGTGAAAAACGATGGCATAGTCATATTTGAGACCAAATACAGAAATAATAGCTGACGAATTCATTAAATACTTTTACGATACAACTATTATGAATTTTTAATTAACGTAAAACGCAAATTAGTTTTATCTGAGAGAGCTCACAATTAAACCTGTTTATGTTCTTGTAAGATAAATACGCGAATAATAAATTTAAAATTATTAATACCAATTACTTAAAAAATAACTTAAAAAATTTTTAACTTAAAAAATTTGTCCTTTTCCATATTATTTTTTCTTTCGAAAAACAATATGTATTGTACACAAGTATCATTTTACGTAAACATAAAAAGATAAGTATATATCAATACAGACACTAAAGTTTGTTTGAATAAAAAAATATATTTTTTTAATTTAACGAATACAAACCTATAGACATGCAACCGATTAATTTTTTTATTATTAAATAAGGTTTTTTTGTCATTGAATGAAGAGGATTTTATTTTCGCAAAAAGCGAAATTAATTTCGACTGAAGATTTTATTGAAGTACAAAAAATTCAATTGAAAAATGTTAAAAATATATATATAGAGTATAATTGTATTATCGTATATTTATATGTTTACGTATTGTTTTTTTATAATTTTCAAATAACTTTTAGTAAAAACGATAGAGCACTGAAGAAACAAATTTTTAAATCAATTTATTTTTAATTATCAATTATTGCGAAGAATATATTAATAAGACTTCGGTTCAAAGGCTTAGAACGTTCGCACGGAATACTAGAGATCGATTTCTTCCAGTTCGACTCCCGACCAAGGTAATATTTTTCGCAATAAGAATTAATTATTTACAGAGTCTAATATCCAGTCAACATTATTATAAGATGCGAAAAAGCATAAAATTGTTAAATTGCTAGTCAATTTAACTTGTGATATTAAATAAATTGTATTTGTATATATTTATTTTATATATTTTGTTTTGTATATTGAGAAATAATTTCAAATTTTGATTTTTAATTTTTCAAATATAAATTCAGTGATATGATAAAAAGGGAGTATCCATCACATTAACATATTTTGTGTTATGTACAGTTAATTTATGAAAATCAATTTTTTGCTACTATGGTCGGAAGTAAAAGAATTGAACAATAAGAGAGAAAAATTCACCCGCAGCAGAGCCATGTTGCACTTTTCAGGAACGACATGAGGAACCTTTGTCAGGACAAAGTCTGGGGGTGGCTTGCGTAAATGCCAAGTAAAGGCTGTCAAAAAATCAGACAAGCGTCGGACAAGGACATACGCTCTAGTGATTTGAAATTGCAATAGCCCCCAGGAATCGATGCCCATTCACTCTGGGGAGCCCTCAGACCGCGCGCAAACGTTTCGAATCACATCTCGACTATCATTTGCGGTCGTGACAGTAGTAAAAGCGTATCTGGACTGGCTGGTGCGGGTGTTGGCAGCGAGTACCCCTCACACATCTGATCCTCACACGCCCAGCGCGCGGCGTGTCAGATCTCGTCGAGTGAAAGGATGAAACGTATCCGAGCGTGAGCGGACTTAAAATTCTCGGAGCCCCTCATACGAGATACCGCAAAATGTGAGTCGTCCCAACAGTATTTTTCAAAGCGAGAGACCAAGATCAAAAATTTCTTCAAAATTCTCCTATCTCACTAAAATTCAGCTTATGTTTCTTTAAAGTTTTCACAATATTATGAATGTGTTATTATTATTCAAAGTCACGAGGAATAGGAATTGTAATAACTAATGCGATTGGATGTGAAATAACAGTTTGTATGTTAATATGGTGAAGTTGAATGAAAGATTTACATCTGAAAGTGAAAGATTTATAAAATATTATTTTTGTGCTACAGAGTGCAACATTAGAGGAGGACTCACCGTTTGTGGTACACGTGAATTTAAAAAATGCCACTCTTTTTTTATTTATTGCTGTACATAAGAATAATAGACAGATCACATTACTGATAAAAAGAGTTATGTGCCATTTTCTATGTGATACGTCAATAATTTATTTTTTTAAATGGAGGCAGAACTAGCATTTTCAAAAATTAATAGCTTGAAATGTTCTACATCTAATACGAAGTGTTAGATGTCGAACGCAAAAATAGATAACTACAAAAATAGATAACTAACGGCAAACGTAAATCTTTTCCAAAATATACAGCTGTCAAAGTATCAAGCAAAATATCATGTGTTTGTAATCACTTTGAAACGTTACATTCAAATCGTGAATTTATCAATGCAATATTTCTGTTTGGTTTAAATAGTTTGAGAGCTCTGTGTCATACGCTATTCAGTGCTATCGACTTACAAATCAATATAGGCAGTTCACAGGAAAGAATGAACGGTTTCAATTTACGATGAAACCCGTTAAAATTCCACGCAAGCACAACAATTGGTAACGGAAAGATATTAAAAAAAAGATTATCCTTTCGCATGATTGATTCCATTCTCGATTGATTAGCGATACATGATGATAATCTGTGACAGTATTATCGATATACCTGTACAATTTTCAATCTCCGTTAATGTGTTATTCTTTTCATTTAAATAGCTTTATTCAATTCAATTAAAATAAAAAACTTTTAAATAGCAATAGAATGTATTAAATTTTTATGACTAGTGCAGATGAATATCGGATATCGATTGTTTATATCGTATTAATAATCTTCTTAAAGTAATTGTTTCAAAAAATATAATACTACATTGAATGATAAAGTAATTTCTATGAATAGCAATATTGATTATACAGTGACAATTATTCTATGAAAAAAGTGCTCTGTGGGGCATACAGGTCCATGGAACATCGCCTAATTGAATACTTAATTAATAGACAATTTGCTCAATGGGGTAAATTGATTGAGAAATTAATTACCTCGAGAGAGAGAGTTGCTTATCGGGTAATTAATCACTGTAGTACATGCATTTCGTTGACTCACGCTATCTAACGGAAAGATTTGTGAAATTTTTAATTTCTTTAAATATCTTCGATAATAAGTAACAGAAATAGGTTTCTTTATTATGTATGTTCAACATTCACTATTAAAATAAGGAAACCAATATTTTTGTCCCCATAAAGAAATGAGTATCAAAATTGATATCCTTATGGCTGATATCCGATGATATCCAAGTGTCATATATACAATTGATGCTCAGTTAATGGAAACAGCAACGTGTGAATCTGCTGCTCTATATATGAAAGGTTAATTATGCAGTCGGACTACTTTCATACAAATACTGTTTATTACAACATATATATGTATACGTATTAATTATAATTCTGATATTATTGGATAAAACATCCTATCATATCATTTCCGATAAACCTCACTATGGCAATTACATTAATTGCCATATTATACAAATCTCATAGATCAAACATTGAGGCTTTACTTGTCAGAAAAATATTCTATTATAGCTATTAACAAATTATGACTATTCATTGTCAGTCATAATGATTGTCAAATTACGATAAGAATATTTGTAGAGCTACAGCTGTATTAAAAAATTATTATAAAACAAAGATGATGTAACTAATTGTAATATAGCTGATAAAAATTTGATAAAAGAATAGATAAAAATTCTTATTGTTTGTTTATATTTTTTGCTTCAGCATAGTTCATAAAAATGGATATATTTGAAGTTTGTTGAAAAATTATTCTTTTTTAAAAAGGTAAAAAAGGTAAAAAAGATTCCAAGTATACGCGCTTGTATGTGTGAGCTCTTGAAGAAAAAAATGAAGGTAATTATACCGAATAGGGGACAATTTTTTACATTTTTTGTACGACACTTAGAATATTTCAGAATTTACATATCTGATTAAGGCCGCAGTACAGACTTTTGCGTAACACATAGTGCACAGTATGTAAGATATCGAATCAACCAAAAACCTTTCTTTCCTTTTATTTCACGGAAAAGAGAAACTTTGGTTTATTTTCTCATGCACTATGCATTATGCGTTATGCAAAAGACTGTGCTGCGGTCTTTACGATAACGACATATTTTCACGAAGCGATGCCACGAATGACAGCGATTTAGCTCTCTATCGATATATCGGTGTAACTGAAACTGCAGGTAAGTAGTGCCACAAGTGCTGCAATGTAGGCGAATGCCATCTGTCGTTTAAAATGTAAAACAGACATTTCCGAGGGATGATGATGACGTATCTTAATGTAGAATTTCGGATTTCACACGATATCTCCGTTCGTAGAAAATAAAAACATTTTTATTATATAATTTAAACCCAAGTTGTCGGATTGAGACTACTCAGAAATTGATCGATTCAGTCGTTTATTAAGAGATCCGATAATCTCGGGTGTACGCAACTCGCCGGCTTGCGTAAAGAACGGAGCGATCTCATGCTAACTACACTTGGCGCAAAACACTACCGTGTCTTTTGATATTATATTTTGTTGAAGGATAGTATAGTATAAATAGGATTTCAAATAAATTATTACTTTTTATAAATCAACAGTTTCATTAGGAAAAAATAATGTATTGTTTACTCATATGTCCCATATAATAACAATATTTTAAACGAGATCATTTTTAAACATATAACGTAATTTTTTTTAAAATAATTGCCCGATTAATTTTCTGATCCCAGTGTTTGAGAGACCCTGGCGGAATATTTAAGATTCTGTCGCTCTTACATGAGCTATTCCCTTCTCTCGCCCTCAGGACAGGCTTTCACATACTCATAATAGTAAACAATACCCCAATGTCTAGCCGAATTTATGAACGGTTCACGTCTCATGTGTTATATTTGGCCATTTGCAGAAGCAAGAGCGGAGATAGTCGGTCCGGTGGAGAAATTTGTGAGGCCTGGTAGCACGTTGCAACTCCATTGCCTGGTAAAGAAGTCCACGGAAGTACCGTCATATCTTTTCTGGTATCACAACTTCCGTATGATTAATTACGACGTTGATCAAGGCGTCAACGTTAGCACTGATCTCGTTGGTCGGGAGAGCTGGTTGGAGGTACCAAAAGCGTCTGATCGTCACTCGGGCAACTACACCTGCGAAGCTAGTAATGCCCAGCCGGCGCGTGTCTTGGTGCACGTTTTCAAGGGTGACAATCCGGCCGCCATGCAGCATAGCATGGCGTCATCGCCATCATTGATGGCCTGCACCGCGTTATTCATCATGTTCGTCACGCTCAAGCTAGCTCTGCAGACTAACTGGAGTTTATGACGTGCATAAGTGCAAGACTCGCGAAAACCCGGAGTGTGTTAGCGAAATTGTGTAACATTACCGCATGATATCCATATTCATGCGAAGATGTGCTCTAGTTACAATCGCCGAAGTTAGAACGGCAACATGATTATGGTGGTTCCAATTAAAGATTCATCGTTGTTATCGGAATGGTTACCAGAACATTTCAAGCTGCAAGATTGGCTGTGATTGATACTATTTATTTGACGATCAACTTTCCGCTCTACGCTGCCGGACAAAGTAGTACTGAAAGATCAGCTGTGATTATTTATGTCATCGCGAGGCAAATATCTATTTAATCCATTATATATATATGTACATGTAATCATAGAGTTCAGGAAGGAACATGCAACAATGTAATATGCTAATACAAAGCAGGATAATTATAACCATCATTGTGAGATTAGTAGTGATGTATCATCGTATGATCGATGATCTGTGTACCGAAAATTTTTAATCAGGAAACAGTGTACCCAACAGAGACCAATATAATAAAAGTATAATGGTAGCACATCTTGTTTGCGCATGTATTTGAACGATTATTCTTCGGACGAAAGAAGTTGAATGCTAGCCTGGAATAAAGTGTCACCATAACTTTCATACGAGTCACATATTATTATATCATCCATTCTTCTGTCGACCGATCGCTTACATTCCGTGTCATATGTGGGAACGAGAAATATATATTAGGTTGCAAAAGCGGAGAATATTATGAGTGCAAGATTAACTCACACTAAGATTGTATTCACAATCGTCTATAACTCGCATGCTTGCAATGGAAATAGACGGAAGACAGATTTGTCAATCCGAGTAATATGAAGAGTTCGATGTATCATTTTGATGAATCGGAACTTCTATGAGCCCGTGAATGTGGATGTGATATGTGAATGTGCGAGATTTATTTATCCGTTCGTATTTTGTGGAGTAACGTGATACGTATGTAATTTAGTGTTTAAATCGATAAAAAAATTATACATGTAACAGATACTCCATCATGCGTCCGTTCTATTTGTGACGCACAGGAAAGCAAGATCGATAGCCTGGATCAAAGCTGTCCGTAATGTATCAAATCGCAATGCATAAGCAGCAATGATTGCCACGACGATGCATCGAGGCTCAGCTATATCTATCGTAATGACTATCGTAAGCTCCTTACGATAATCATAACGCTCGTCGTAATAACTATCGTAAGCTCATCGTAAGAGTGAACTCAACTTCAACTCACACGATTACGAACTTGTCTGGCGATATGATAGCCAATGAGAATGTAATTATTTGGCTCTAATATTCTGTTTCGCTATTAGCTTTGTTACGATCTTATGCAGACAGACAATGTTACGGTAGCTAATCTTACGGTAGCTTTTTTCCTTACGACCACGATCGCTTACGATCGTAGCGTTACGATAGATGTACAGCTGGGCCTTTAAAATAAAGAAACAACGATGATGTATTCGATGGGGCATCGTTAATTGCATGATGCCATCACAGCTTCGTTCCAAGATGTTGTAAATATATCGCAAAAGAAATATGTGGTCTATTTTCTGTTTCTGCACTAGACTGCGCTAGAACTCTCTTTTCGTTTTCGACAAATATCAAATAAATACCTATCTCACTTTATGTTCCAAATATAAAAGTGTACATTAGTTCAGTCACAGAAAACAGACCTATCGTTTCGCAAATTAACGAAAGTAACGTCTTCTTACGGCCGGCCTAAAATACTTTATTGATGAATTAACAATGATTAATAAAAGTCTGATGCAATATTACCTTCCTTCCGGAAGCTCTGGGCAACACTTTGATAAGTGGTAAACAGACACGAGTGAAAGTAACGTCGAGACTATACAAACTAAACTTGCTATTACGTGTTTTCTAGAAGAATATTCCTAGGATTCTCTAGACGGAGCGCGCGCGCGCGCATGCGACATTTATTACAAGCCAGGATGCGAAATTATTATGCTAACGTTTTTTTTTATTATTAAAAGGAAATCCAGTATTAAAGAATATTAAACCGTTCGCATCAATAGACAAAATCAATAGACAAAAACGCTTTGCGTTTGTAAAGAAGTCAGCTTATTAAATAAAAATATATATCAAAATATTTTTTTAATACAATTTGCTTGTTATCTATAAAATAATTTAAATATTTTAAAAAGGGTTATTAATTTAAAATGGACTGAAAGTATATAGATTTATATACGCAAGAGCAATCATAAATTCAACGAATTCGTCTTTTAAGCGTCTTTTAAAGCAATAAATAAGGATGTTTATCGCTATTCGATAATATCGAACATTTAATATTTTTTTGCAGCTCGATGTAAAAACATCAAATAAAAAATTATGAATAAAATATCAACTAGATATTTTTTAACTATTACATATTCTCTTATACATTCTTTTTATGAACATTATTAATTGTCAAAACTTTCTTCTTTGAAGGCTTATTCAGTCAAACTTACATAGCCGTACAATACATATAAAATCGACCAATTAAATGTCTTATATAAAAGTATAAATATTGTTGATATTGCATGATATTTGATTAATCAGAGCAGTCAAAGTAAATATATATCCTGATTGATATTTTATGCAATCTCAAGTCTCAAGTTCCATTTACTTCTATTTCTCGAATGTACAAATTATATACATTAAGCCTTTCTAAGGATTAGGCGTGACTGACGAATTGTTTTGTATATAATCGGGACTGCAAGTACCTTCCCCATATAAAATATTAAGGATAGTTTTTTGTTTGTAAGCTTTACTAAAAAATTACTAAAAAATTGGGACAATATTATAATTTTATTTAGTTTTTGAACAATTTATTCGTTATTCGATATATTCGATAATGCCTACTCATTCAAGATGAATATAAATAACTTTTAAACATCTGAATATATTCGTAGTCGACATTTTTGCTTGATATTAACAAGTCTAAAATGATGCGATCGGTTTAAATTATGGTTATCGGTTTAACGTTATGCATACGCGTAATTAACGGTAATAAGGAGTGCAATGTTATTCTGCTTATTTTATCGACTATTTAATTAAGTGCGACATGCGCTCAGTATACATCTTAAGCCCTAAACAAAATACGAGACAACAGCGATAAAAACAGCGATAGGAATAGATATAGAATTCCAATTCGTCAGAAATTTTATCGCCATTGCCTATTCATGTTTCGATCTGCATTGATATATGCATTCCCGTACGTTGGATTCATCTGTTTCTATCGCTATGCTTATTATTATTGCCTATGTTATTTCTATCCCTATCGCTGCTGCCTCGCATTGTGTTTAGGGTTTAGGGCTTTACTGTCTCGTTCAATACTCGAAAAAATATAAGATTTGCTTTTGTTTGTAAAATACACAGGAAATTTCTCGATCAAACGAAATCCATACGTACTACCGAGCGACCTATTTAAAGGGATGATGAAGTAACGGCCGAATTTGACCGATATCGATAATACAGGTTTTTTTAATTCCAAATTTAAAATTCCGATAATAGTGACATCTTCTCTTTGTGAGATCTTTAATTTATTTCTTATATTCATTCTGTCTCACTCAAACGCATACATTTGTCCTTATCTAACATATTGCAATCATTTGCAAGATCCGGCATC